TTGTTCATATATCCTTGTCTGTCTTGTGTTGTGAGGTGTCTGTGAAGAATTTTTAAATGTCTGTGCTGTGATGCATAGATGTCTGTCATTCTTATTGAGTTGTCTGTCTCATTTTGTGTGCATATAATTGTTGTTTGTCTGTATGTCCTTTACCATTAAATGTAGGTGGCAAATGTAGTCGCATGTGATATGAATGCCTTTGTACCTTCTCATGAGGTTCATGAATCTGTAGCAGAAACTGAGAATCATGTGGAAGTAAGTTTTATTGTGTTTCCAACAATAGAACATGTTTCCCCTTTCAATGCTTTTCTGAATGTCTGTCTTTCCTTTATTTTTGTCTGTCTGATATATTATTTGTCTGTCTGTATATCCTTTACAATTAAATGTAGGTGGAAAATGCAAATGCATCTGATTTTTCCCGTGTTTTGATCTTTTTAGTAGCCTTACAGTGCCTTACAATAAAAGCACCTGTGCGCATACGGTGACTTTGATAAGCGTTGTGGTATGCACCTTTTTTTCCCCGTGTTTTGATCTTTTTAGTAGCCTTACATTTTTTTTAGAGATAAGGGTCAGATAGGGTCTCGAACTTGAAAAACAATGTCAAATAAGGCCATATTTAGGATGCTCTGTCCGGTCGACGCCATTTGGGGTGGTTTCCGGTAGATTTTTTTGATGAAATTTTTTGAGAATCTTATTCATTAAGTCTAGTTTACTCATATCAAATTTGAACTAAAACTTTAATTGGTAAGGCATTCAAATGAATTCTTGAAGATAACTGTACCGTTAAAAGCGCAGTTATCTTCATGAATTCATTTGAATGCCTTCCCGATTGAATTGTTAGTTCAAATTTGATATGAGTAAACTAGACTTAATGAATAAGATTATCAAAAAAATTCATCAAAAACTTCCACCGGGAACCACCCCAAATGGCGTCGGCCGGACAGAGCATCCTAAATATGGCCTTATTTGACATTTTTTTTCAAGTTCGAGGCCCTATCTAACCATTATCCCTTTTTTTATGTTATGTTTGTAGCATAAAATCCTTAAGAAAGAGATAGGCAACGACACACATTTGAATGGAGATAAATACCTGAAAAGCTGGACTGGAAAAGTTTTTTTAGGTTATTGTTTGTCTAAGTTTTGTAAACGCCTGTCTGTTATTATTTCGCTAGTATTTTGTCTGTCTCGATAGAACACCTAGCATTTTTGATGAATTGTTAATTCTTGGCAGGTTTTGTTTCCTTTCAATATTGAAAACAAGCATGGGATCATGTCTGATTGCGACTATGGCAACATGTCGAACAAAAGAATTGAGTATGGTATTCGGCTTTGGCGCTTGAAGAAGGAAGATGCATAGAGTGTTGTAGACTTCATTTTTATTTCAACTTGTGGTTCAAACAAGTATTGATTTTGGGTATCTATTGAACTTGGAAACAATACATGGTTGGGGTATTTTGGGGAAATATGTCGAAGTTTGTACAATGTCATGTATTTATGTGGATATTTTGTTTGTATGAGAATATTTTGTTTTGTCTGTCTATCATTTTGTCTGTGTACGTATATTTATTGTTTGTCTATCATTTCAAGCAGCGCAATACAACATGTCTTTCTGGTTATGTATTTTGTCTGTGTACGTCTATTTATTGTCTGTCTATTATTTGAAACAACGCCACATTGATGATTCATAAGAAACTTAAGTTTTCAGTTACCCTGTTATCATTCACACACATTACGTTAAAGACTTGAGGCAATAATGTTCAAAGCACAAAAGAAAGTACATGATAAACTACATCAAACTAAGGTTTAAGTCCAACCCATAATCATTCATACATTCCATAAATACGGGAGACCTAATTCCAGCACGGGCACACTCTAAGACAATCGCAATGATGTTGCCGGATTTGTCTTTACTTGAACTTCGTTGTCTAACGGGAAACCCCACTCTTCTACCATAAGCCTTGTAGAAATCATAAACTGCGTCTTTACTAGGAAACTTCATACCAACTTCGGGGTCTTTATTACTACTCTTTTCTTCCTCTTCATCTGTTATTCCAAAAAAAAATGCATGTTCATAAAAATTTACAACTCACAACATTTTGTCTGTCCAGACAGACAATAGTATGCAATTTTTTTTTCTATAACATTGTTGTGTACATTCACAAATACAACCATATGTCCAAAACTTATACACACTTTCACATAACAACTACATTTTCTATCAAAACATACTACAAAAAACTCTTGTAACAATACTTGCATGTCCATACAGACGTTATTTTTACGTAGACAAACAAAATAAATTGTCTGTCAGACAGACATTTTACATATGGGTCAAACAACAAACCTACTATGTTTCAGTAGACAGACATTGCACATATAACTACTTTGATAGACAGACAACCCTTTTTATATCCCAAATACACCAAAAAATCAAGAAAACAAAATCAAGAAAATCAAGAAAACAAACCCAAGACAACAACACATACTCAAGCCTTCCACCTCTGGACCTTGTTCATCTTCGTCCCTCGACCTCGCATCCAGTTCGCCGGAAACTGGCGTACGACCATCATCTTCACCTTCATCACCTAGCTCTCCAAAAATCATGTTATCCAAGAGTAATCCATCAACCCACTCAGATGTACCATTCCCATTTAGCTTCATTGAAGAAGAGTTCCAACAGAGAAGATGAAGGATGTCTCACTCTTCTCTTCGGTCGTTTGGTCAATTCGTTGCTTCCGATTTTTTGGCAGAATAGCTGCGTGACTTCTGCGCAGGGGAGGGAAGGAGGGTTGTGAGAGGGCAGAATTATTTGGGGGTAAATGAGGTAAAAATATGGAGTATTTAAATGAGGTGCCAAAAGTGTACACAAATTGTGTACCCCTAGCATTGAGTGTGTATATGGTACATCCGGCTGTACGGTGAACACCGTACAGCCGGCCCAGGAACAGGCCCAATGGAAAAATGACAAAACAATTCGGTGGCGCTTTTGTAATTAATGTAAAAATCGTGGTTGTTGCTAAATGAGCATTAGTGTACTGTTAATGAGCAATAGTCTAATTTTAATGAGTATTAAGAGTCTAATAATGAGCACCGTGTTATTACAAGAAAGCTGATATCAAAACTAAAAAACGGTGGCATTTTCGTAATATCAATGAAAATCTCGGTTTTCGTTAGATGGGCATTAACACACTTTTAATGAGCATCGGACGTATTCTACTGAGCATTAAGAGTCGAATAATGAGTATTGCGATATCAGCTGCATATATTGTAATTCACTTTCTTTTTCTTATTTTTTTTCTTTTATAAAAACTCATTAAATTATATCTATAACCAATTCCTATGAATTTCAATATGTGAATCTAATGTAATATGATACTTTTGGAATATGAATTGTTATGACATTTTAAAAATGAGACTAATAGAAGTACCAATTGAGCACACGTAACTTACAAAATGAGCATTAATATAAAAGTAATAAGTTTTTTAGCTGAGCATGAAAACATCTCCATTGAGAACCAAATCTCCTCTATTGAATATCAGAAACGTGCAATTGTGTATCACTCTTAAATATGCATGAACGTGACATTTTGAAATGAGCATTACATCAATATCAAATGAGCATACATAACTTACGTAATGAACATAAAAAAATCAAAAATTTCATTTGAAATCTCTACTATGCTCAAATATAAAATGAGTATGCATAACTTACGAAATGAGTAGTGAAAATTTTAAAATGAGCATTACATCGATATGCATGATATGACATTTTAAAATGAACATTACGTCAATATTAAATGAGCAAACATAACTTACGAAATAATCATTGAAAATTTCAAAAAACTCATTTAAAATTTGTAGTATGCTCAAACATTAATTTGCGTATATATGTTTAAATATTACGGAGTAATTTGTAAATGCTCTAACGCTCATATATTCAAATACTACGTGATAAGGACTAAGGAGTAGCACTTTATCGGTTAAAGTTATCTTATGCAGGTGGCAGAGGATTTACTTATGCAGGTGGCAGAGGATTGATTAATCATCCAATAGGGTTTGGTCATTTGTGATGATTTTGAAAATTGATTTGAATGGGTGAAGAACCACTGAAACCGTTGAGCTGCATGGCTGAAGAACACCTTTTTCCCATTACTCACTTAGTGGAGACGACAGCTTTGTTGCGGGCAAGCGCCGGTATCCATGGATCTCGAAGCCGGTGCCGGTGCAATTTTCTCTGCCCTTCGTCTTTAACATTCCAATCTATTACAAAAATACCCGGCTGTACCATGCTGAAGGTACAGCCGGTTGTAGGATATAGGAGGTGTTTGGCAAATGGTTGTTGGTTGTTAGCAGTTAGCTGATTATGTTGGCTGATTGATGACAGCGGATTCTGCTGACTGTTTTGATTAGCTGATGTTATTAGCGATTTGTAAAATGGTGTTTGGTAAAATGACTTTTTATAATCAGCTGGTAACTTGGTAAATGACTTTAAAGGACATCAATTAATTTTTTATTAATGTCATTAGTTCAATTATTTAAAACATTTACGATAGTATATTTTATAACTCAAAAAAAAATTTGAAAACAAGCCATGATTATTCTGACATTTTTTCATGTGTAAATTAATTTAATTAGTATAACAATATTTCCAAGTGCGTAGTAATAAATATCACTTGTTATAATACAAACAACTGTCAGTAATACGTAGAAAAATATCAATATATATAAAAGTTACTCCATATCCTCTAAATTCGGTGCTTGTGCAAAAATTACTCGTGTCCGGTTGTCCACCATTAGGGACAAGCTTGGAGAACAGTAAATACAGGAGCCGTGGGTGAAATAGGAAAATCGGGAGAGAAGCGGAAAGGCCGATGCTAAACGCCAAGTTTAGTGGCGTTTTGAGTTTTGGCTGTTTAAATAAAAAAGTCAAATTAAAAGCTATGTTACCAAACACCTCTATTAGCTGTTTCATCTGGTCAAGGCTAATTATTGGTCAAAACAGCCAAAAATTGGCTAATCAGCTATTAACCAAACACCCCCCATAATTTACCCCTAGCATTTTTCTAGTAACAAACTGTGCACCCCCACCTTTTCCCGCAACTTCCGGGCCAAATCTTACTTGAAGCTGTTCCTTGGCTTCCCGGCGTCGTCCTCGTCCTCAGGCCGTTTCCGGTCCGCCAATCGCCGATTGAATTCCGTACACTTGTTTCCTAGATTGTAACTTCATCCAGCGAATTTTGAATCTAGGTTGAGCTTAATCTACGTGTTTTGGTTTAATGCAGAAGCTTTATCAGTTTTGATAAAATAGTAATTCAAAAAATGAGGTTTTAGTGAATGCTGGTCTCAAATGTTTCTGTCATGATGAGACTTTATAAGCAAAAGCCACATTTCACTATGTAAACAACCATTAACAACGTATGGTTGATTGGAGTTGTACTCACAAAGTTATGAATTACACTGTGGAGATGATATGCCATTAGCGCTGAATAGCCACAGTTCATTAATATTTCAAAATTAATGCTTATATAATTCATGTTTTGGCATTTGCCTTTTTTTCCTTCTTAATTTATACGTAGTATTACATATGCTGATATGCATCTATCACATCTTTTAACTTGGTGTAGATAGGGTATTGTGGAAGGTTCTCATTTTTGTTGCAATGCTACAGTGGATGGGTGGATCAAGACGGAAAGTTGTCACTGTAAGTTGTGGCTGAAAGCCTGAAACTGCATTGTATTCCGTTCTTATTTTGTTCCAGCTTATATGTTGGAAGCCATGAACTTCCATTACATAAATACTCAATAATTCTTCATATTTCTTCTGAAGTAGTGTGATAAGAAATCACTAGAGGTATGTGTGCGTTTGTGTAAAATAGGGGTGCCTGTCTGAATCCTCAAGTAACTATCCAAGATTCCTAGGCTTGTCGGGTCTTACTAGTGTTGCTCCAACCCACATCAAATTTTCACTTTAAATTTTATACTATATTTTGTTGCCCTCTTGTTTTATTTATTATGCATCAACCTTACCCTCCTCCTTCTGTGTCATTTTCATGATTCTGGGTGGAGATTAGTCAAGGAATTCAACACTAAAAAGGTACAATAACAGCTTCATGCCCCCTATGTTAATTAAGTGCCTATTAAATTTGAAGAGTTTTAGGGCTTGTTTGCAATCAATTAAAAAAGTGATTTTGGTTTTTTTTTTTAAAGAAAAAAGCACTTATTTTACCAAACACTATCAACTTTTACTTCCTCGGTTTTTGTGTAGAATCTACTTTTTACTTTTTCTATTACACAAAAAGCACTTATTTTACCAAACACTACCAACTTTTACTACTAATCACTTTTTCCCAAAAAGTGCTTTTATTTAAGCACAAGTGGTTGCAAACAGAGCCTTATTAGGCTCTGTATTAAATGAATTTACATGCCATCTTATATTGACATGACTCTAAGTTCTTAAAATAACAGGCAAAAGCAGTACTTTGAGCAAAGAAAACTAAAACACCAGCACAGTCAGGCAGATCTGGAAAAGTACTATGGAAGTAGCCCATGTAATCAGCAACACGAAAATAATACATCACTGGATGTTCTTAGTCTGCTGAACCTTTCAGCTGTTTCCAAAGAACCTATCTCAGGTTCCCATTTCCCTGGAGGTTACGCTATCTCAAATTTTTAAATATACAGCTATGGAAAGTTTTACACTTCAGTTACTTTGATTATGATCCTTATCACTTTTTTATAGTTAGCTTGAGAATATTGATTCAACAAGCAATTAGTTTCGTTCTAAGTAATTGCCTCTTCAATGATTGTTTACGTATATTGCGTATGAATTTTGCATTTCATACTAATTTCTTGATAAATGTCTATTTAATCAGGAAACATTGAAGGTGTTACTCCCTCTCCAAACTATCAGACCAGGTTGTGTCCTCAAACTGCTCAAGCCAATGAAGTTACTCAAATTAGTCCCCTTAGGATCAAGCCGGAAGGTATTGCTTCCACAACAGGTATGAAGTAGTGTTTTCAGCAAGTTACATGTAATTGTTTGTAATTTGAATCCAATTGAATTAAGATTCTATGTGCTTGCAGAAAGTTCCGCCTGTGATCTTTCTGATACTGTATGTCCAAGAAAGTAAGCATAATGAGCTTCAAAATTTTGAAGCATTGGATTATCTAATTCATTGATTTCATTTGTATATATAGATAGCATTAGTGGAATACTAATTGGCAGCACATCTGATTGATTGTATCTACCACCTTGAAGTTATCTAACTTGTGAGGGATATTGTTTGATATATCTGCTTCTTCACACACTTCCATTTGCTTGCTGTTTTCACGGAGATGCATCATTCCTGTCCTTCACATTAATGGCGCTTCTACAAACTACTCCTTTTATTACTATTTTTCCATCATTTTTTCCTTTTACAAAAACCAATTGTTTAGTACCTGCCAGTTTTCCAGTTGGTGCGCCTGAATCCAAGGGGAAAAAGTTGAAGTGTGATTGGAACACCTTAAATCAATCAAAGATGTCAACAGAGCACCGTGAGTAATTCCTTTAGTCATTTGGGTCATTACATTGTTCCATGTTTCTAAAGAGCTGGTGGGAGTACAAATAAGAAAGGGATAGTGATTTTTATAATTTTAGCATTCCTTCAGAACAACAATTTTTTCCAAGTTCCATTAATTGAACTAGAATTGAATTGAATTTTTGTAATGGCAAATCATTAGTTATAACTATCTTTCTTTGGAACGTAAGAAATGATCACTGCTTGATATAACTTGATTATTACTTATCTATGCTATTTTCTATAGAGAGGCTCAAATTATTCTCTCATAGCTTCATTAAGAATGATTAATTTATTTTGGCTTTATTTCCATTGTCGGCAGCGCTATCTGTTATTGATATTTTAGGTGATGATTGTCCAAATAGCAACCTTGAAGAAAATGTTGGGCATGAAGCTCATGTTGCCTTTTCAATTCAAGGTACAATATGATATTATTAACTTTCAAGTCAGTTTACAAATTACAACCAATTACGCCAACAACAGTCACTGGCAAACTCAATCATCTAAATTCATTCCCTTAACTTGTTGAGTAGAAGGGTTTTCAACCCGGAACCCCACTCCCAGCTTCTGACTCTTTGTTTTCATCTAATCATTATGAGGCACTTTTCTGGTAAAGCAAGGTCGATATTTTTTTCTACTTGATTAGTTTCCAGAGTTTTTACTGCAATTAAATATAAAAAATTTAAGGAATCTTTTTGACGAACCATGAGTTGTTACCTAAAATTTAAACTAGTCTAAGTAGACATTTTGTACATTATTAGTGTACAATCCAACATGGCATGCATTTATTGGATAATAATAAGTTGAGCTTAAAATTTAAGCTCATAGAAATGTCTCCCTAGACTCGCTCAAATTTAAACTAGTCATGAAACCAGAAATGCTTAAAAAAGCTTTCCATCCGCACCTTTGCATCGCCAGAATAAAATCCTTTGTTCGTATACTGTGCTCGTGTATTTGGTTATCATATGGAATGGCCTATAGTTTTACTTATAAATTCTTTTGACCACGTTAGTAAGATACATTTGACAATAACATAGAACTTGATTTCATTCTGTTGTACACCGTGCTCATGGATTTTTCATTTCGTCAATCATAAGAAATATATATGCTATTAGTCAATTACTACTAGTTATTTGGAGATATATATTAGCAACATATATGTGAGACTAGTGTATGGCTCATAATACATAGTGCTTATTGAGGGCATGCCTTGCTCATCAGGTCTAGGTAAAGTGGACACAGAAACACCTGTTCATTCACCAGAGAGGCCTGGAAGGTAATTGTAAAATGTATATATGTATTTTATTACTATATTCTGGTGTACATATAGTTGATAATAATGATGGCTGTGCATGAAGAGATGCTCCAAGGGCTAGTGATCATTTTGCAGTGATTTTTCTATTAAAAGGCCATGGTTTGAGTAATGTAACAAGTATCCTTGAGCATCAATATTTTATTGCTAAAAAGGTTCTCATTTCCATTATACATCAGCACTTAAGAATGCATTTGTTTACCTGCTAGGTTGTTGTAGTTTTGGATTTGTTTGGCTAGTGATGCCAATTATGACTATCATTTGGCTGCAGAAATTTCTCTTATGGACAGTATCTACCATTGAAAGAGAGGATGAAAACTCTCTCGTCAGTCAAAACTACTAGCAGGCCTGACCTCAAGCATAAATTGGTAAGAGTGGTCAGCAGTTCATTTGGTAATTAACTTAAATATGAAATTGATTGCTGCTTATTTATATAAATCAATTGATTCTTTTGTCATTGACACTGTACAAAACAATAAGCATGTCCCTTTTGAAGTACCCTTCTTTTTTATCAAAAGAATTGACATAATTGTGGGTGTCAAGATGTGGGTGATAATGATAACACTAGTTACTTTGATTACACAAATTACAGGATGCTGTCATGAGGGACATTGGAACATCCATATACAGAAGTCCAGTAGAACCATCTTTCAGATCTATGGTCTCTGATGATTTATTTGGCAGCCCAAGGCAGGACTTGTTATCTAACAAAATATCATCTCCAGTCACTGATTATGATACTAATTTGGAGGAAATTTTTGAAGCTGGGGAGCTCTTTGGCAAAGAGAGAAGAAAGAACATTCAGAATGGTAATATTCATTTTGTGCACACTTACTTTCCTTTCTATGATATGTTTTCTGGACTATCATACACTCTCTCCGTCCCAAAAAAAGTGTGATGTTTCAAAATTTCTTTTTGTCCCCTTAAAAAGAGCCTTATTTAATCAAACATCTCTAGTTTTTCATAATTTTGAATTTATTTGTCAAAAAAACGTTTTACAGACAAAGAAATAGGATTAACTTATTTAAACTAACAAGTAAAGTTTAAATATATAAGTAGAACTTTATGACTTGTTTGGGATGGGGGGAGTAGTGGTATCGTAGGCGTGCAAGTGTATTGTTAGTTATTACACTTGGCTCAATGGAGCAATAGTAGTAGTGTAGTTACCTGATTTTCTAAATATGTTTAACACTTCTAAGGAAATACTTTCTCAAGCCTTTTGAGTAACATCAGGAACCAGGATGGAAGATTGACCAAAGGTTTTTATATGCATAATGAAATCCCAAAATCGGTTGTGTTGCGATTGACTTTACCTGAACCCTCTAAATTATCTTTTATGACAAGGGGCATGTAGTAAATTGTCTACTATTGAATCTCAGCAACTTCCTCGGGTCTAACTTATGGGATTAGTGACCAAGAGGAATATGGTTTACCTTGTAAGAACGAGTTAGATCAAATGGAGTTTTGTTCAAGTAGTCAACATGCGGGTAGAAGTTACGATCACCAAGATTTATCCTTTAACGAGACCCACCAGTGGAAGAAAAGGTAGTATTTTAGTATTTTCCAATGACGCTTCACGCTTCTAGAACCATGTGACTCATTATTTTAAAACGGATTTTATTATGTGTGTGCAGCACCAGCATGCAATCACCATTTGAGATCAATTACCAAGGTGCTTTCTGTTTTATTAATGTTGAAAGCTCTTCGGTTTTATACCGTGTTTCTTTTGTTGATACATCAGGAAATGCTGATATGTCGTCGATTCATGTTTAGTCGACCCTAAACTCTTTTGGGGTTGGGCTTGGATGTTTTTGTTGTTGTACTCTCTTGTTGTTCACTGATGGAACCATGTTCTCTTTACCTAGGCTGCCCTTCTTTATATTCCAAGCGCAAGATGCAACAGTACTTTGAAGATTCAGACCCGAATATAAAATGGTATGATTTTTTATTTACATTTTTGCGTACACTACTATTTCCATCATTTGCAATTGAGCCAAAGATTCATTATTTTTTGGTTTGAGAATATGATGGAATAAAGCAAAATGGCTCACTAAACTGTCTGCGCTTCTTTATTATGAAGCAGCAGTCAGTCCATGCAATTTTGGACGCGATTTTCACTACGGGTCATCCGGAAACAGTCTCTGTGTGCTTGTACAGGGTTAAGACTGCGTACATCCGACCCCCCCTTACCCCACCGTAGGTGGGAGCCTTTGCGGCACTGGGGTAAATGAAAATGATGAAAATGATGATTTTTGCGTACACTACTACTTCTGTCCTGAAAGAGTCTTGTTTGACCAGTGTACAAATTTTAACTTCCGGTAAGGTACAACTGTTGTAAATCATGAGCCATACTTGTGCTTTCAAATTTATTTGCTGGTTTGACTGAATTTATTATATGCAACCCTTTTTGAGTTTTTTTTTGGGGAAATTACATGAAAATTAGCTCTATTTGATGAAAGTGGACTTTTATTCGAGACACCGGGACTATAATTTGCTGTGAAGATTTCATTATTTCAATGCATATAAGCCGTTGTAATTTGGACAGCAACTACTCTATGGGAACCAGTGAATATCGTTGTGTGGACAACAAAAAGCGGAGAGCTTCCTCATTCTCTGCAATTGATGACACCATGGGTTGTTTCAGTCTTCGGAGGTTAGAAAATCTTGACATTCTTTTTTACTAGTTATTGCATGGCTTGGTTTTATCCTGATGAAACTTTTTTTCCAACTCAATGCCAGTGAAGAATCATGCTTCTTTTCAGCTGCAGGTTTTTAAACTCGTCCTATTGCTAAATTGCTACAGTACTTGTAGAGTGGTAGTATGATTTGGTTCAACTTCTTAAAAGTTAAGGCTCCGTTTAGGACACTAAATATGCAATAAGTAAAGAAACAGATGACATATTTACTTGGTCTGTTTTCAGTCCCAGATCAGACTTAAACAGACCAGATCAAACTAATAAATTTCAGTCCAATTAAAAACACCCTAAAAATGAAAATATACACGTGAAGTTTTATAGAGTTTTGGAGTAAAATAAATAATCGGTTCAAAATAAACAATCAACTTTAGATATTAGTCTTTATATATGTAGTACGGAGTATCATATAAAGACTAATAAATCAAAATATATGTAAAAATGTTAGAAAGTTCTACCAACTCCACATTTCCCAAATTTAAATCGAGCATTAAAATATGAAACTATTTTCCTCGTCTTTTTTCTTTTTCATACCATCCTCATCTGAGTCTCAATCAGACCCTAAAGCACCTTCTTCCACTAACATTCTCCTCTTCTCACGCTTCTTTCCAGTGAAAGGTGATTTGTTCGAATGCCCCAGAAACCGCCATGACATGCATCTTCATAAAAAGACGATGGAGACCAAAACCAGATTCTGCAATGATAGCTGGCCAGGAAGCTTCTCAGATTACCCAACTACTGCTAAAAAAAGATGGTTTGATCCGAATCCCCATCGGTTCTCAGATGAAATATTCAATGCAAACGAAGAAGACATTATGGGTGGACCAGATCCCTATAACGAACATCCATTTGCTGCTCAACCTCCACTACTTTTCAAGAAACACAGAGGTTTTCCTGGTGAACGCTCACATTGCTACAAAAGAATGTCGGAAGAACCTAGTATCATCCCGAAACCAGCCATAATCATAATCTCGAATGGTATATCTGGTGGATCAAGTGTGCCAGGCCGATTTCAGACTTCCCAGGCTAGCATTGTTTCATCATCATCCGACCTGGAAGACAAGTGTGGTGACACTAGAAAGGAACCAAGATGCATTACTCCTAAAGCATCTGTGAATACAAATGCATCTAAACCTATTGAATATGGTGACGAGGCTTCTTCTTGTGCAGAGTTTCCGGCAGCATCTAAGGAAGTTCATGGGTCTGGAGATCCGAGTAACGATATATCTTAATAACGCGATTTGTTACTGGGTTGGCTTTAATAAACTAAAAACATAGTTTAATGTTACTCTTATTGAATTGGGTTATCTTCTACGCACAAGGCTTAACTTCATACACTTGTACCAAAATACTTGCACACTGGGGCTTAACTTCATACTTTTGTACCAAAATACATAACACACTGGCTCCATTGATCACTTCTTTACTCTCCATCTTAGAAGATTCCTGTTCTCCTATGATGATACGGTATCTCTCAGAAGGGTAAAGCCCAGTTTCTCTTCGAAGTCTCTAAAGACTTGTCTGGAAAAGGGATGGGGGATTAATTTTTGTTTTATCAGTTTATCTTTATACGAAGTATGTTAGTGTGACGCTAGAAATAATTATATGGTTGATCAAATTACGCATTTTTGTATAATCTTTTATCTTCGTATCTTTTCAACTATTTAAATAAATGAATACAACAACATCCAGGCCATTGTCCCAAAGGTAGGTAATACAACATAACAACTACTCCGTATTTTAAATGAATAAGGTTGTGTTTGGAACTAATTGTGCTTTTGCTTCTTTTTTAAAGCAAAAACAGTATCAGAACCAGTTTTCAGAAACTACTTCTGCACTTTCACCCAAATACTTCAACTTTTGTTTCTGCTCCCTCATGGAGCAAAAAAAGTTTTAAGAACCAAACACCCCTAACTTTTAAAATAAGTATCACACCCTTTGTTCTTTTATCATTTTGTTAAGTTTGAATGACATGAGGAGTAATAATGTAAAAATTATGTAATTCATGTTTATTCATTGAGAATGAAATAGTATAAAAATAATATTAATTAAAAGAGAAATCTGTAAAGATTTCTAAACAAATAAAAGGGGAAAATGATAAAATATTATGAAATGAAGTATGTTTTTCAGAGATGTTGATTTCAGATCAGATGTTAAGATTCCCCCTCAATGCTGACACCATACACAGTCTTACATTTTCATGAGCTCTACATTTTGACCCCATAATTAATTGAGAGACATCAAATCTCAGATGAAATTGGTGTGTGAGGGCCTTAAAACTTGAAAATTGTTATTTGTACACTTTTGTTGCACACACTATAAATACTTTACATTTACCAATCTAATTTTACATTCTACCTTATTCCCCTCCACTCTTTCCTTCTCTTCTCTCTCTTTCCATCCACACGAGTCCTCTCTCCCCACTACCTCTTTTTATTGCTTCCATCACCTTTTCATCACCTTTACATCCACTTCATCATCTTTCATTTTCATCATATTTATAATCATTCATCTTCCTCACTCTATCTCAATGTTTCTCACTCCATCTTCATCTTCCTCACTCAAATATTTAATTGTCCGTAGACAAACAATTTGGACATTTTCAGATTGTGATTAACTATTTTGTCTGGGTACATAGTCATTGAAAAGAAACAGTACTGTGCACTAAAAAAAAATCGATGAATTTTCATCTATAATTTTCCGACGACTTTCTGGTTACTCTCAAATTTCTTTTTTCCAATCGATCCTAAATGATGATAATGGTGAAATGATGAGCTGATGAATATGGAAGACGATGAAGATGGAACTTGGGATATGATTACTATGGTGAGCTATATGGAAATGGAAGATGGCGGAGATGGAGGATTGGAGGTAGTGATGGTGGATGTAAAAAGGGGGTTTTATATGATGTGTGTCGTATACATTTTGTGTACACCAAGAATACTTGTAGAAACTTTAACTGCATTGGAGAAGGGCAAAGTAGTGTCATGATTTTTTTTGAATTGTACGAACAAAAAATTTAAACGTGGTATTTGTAAAAGTAAATCAACATTGAAATGTATTTATAAAAGAAAGATGCTTAATGGTAGATTTATAAATTTTCAATTGGATTAATTTGAATTTTGGACCAGACTAGATTTGAATAGGACATACACAGTATTAGATTTAGAATGTTTTAAATTGGATTAAAATTTTCTGGTGATCTGATATTTCCCATTTTAGTCCATTTAAGTGTGAATCCAATCTGAATTGACCTGGTTTAGTACATGTCTGTTTTAATTATTTTTTATTTTTGAATTGAATATCTCAAATTAACAATTTATTTTATTATTTAATTATTCCAGAAAGAAGTTATATATCTCTAAATGAACGAGTAATACACAGGCAGGTAATAGTTTATACTTTGGAATTTAAAATCTTTGTATTTCAAATTTAACTAAATCATAACATGTGACAATTTAACTAAAATTCGAGCATATTATTTTAACTCAATCAATAAAACTGAGGCCGAATCGAGCCAAGTTGAGCCCCTATAATAAAAAAATCTTTGTATTTTGAAAGAAGAGCAGAGACACTAAAGCACAGAGACACTGTTTCCGGATGATCCAAAGTGAAGATTGCGTCAAAAATTGTATCGACTGACTACTGCTTCATAACAAAGAAGAGCAGATAGACAGTTTATTGAGTCATTTGCTTTATTCCATCATAATCTCAAACCAAAAATAGTGAGTCTTTGGCTCCATTTCAGGATAAAATATATTTCTTACCGAAAAAAAATCAAACTAAGGTCGAGCTGAGCTAAGTTAAGTCGTTATAAGGAATTTTCGTAAAGTAAAACTTCTATGATATATTACATCAATAATTTTTTTAAAAATATTATGTGGGCTATGGATTAGAAAGAAATTTACTTATTTTTTTTATAGATTTGAGTTATTTGAAATTATATTTTAATTACATAATTTACATATCACATATTAAGTTTTTTTTTTTAAATTTTAATTAGTATTTTATTTCTTAATTGAACATCTTGTGATGGAGTATATGGCCCAGGAGCCCCCGGCCCATAGACTCCTACTTCTCCTACATAAACCCATTGAGCCCAGGGAGCACCTCAGGCCCAAATACAACGGCCCAAGCTTCAAAAGAGCCCATAACGCACACTGGGGTGCCTTCGGCCTCCTTGGCCGAAGGCTCCGAACTACACGCGGCAGTCAGCTTTTAACATGAAAATCCTCAGGGAGAAAACGGCGTAGAATGGTTGCCCTCGGCACTATCAAGCCCTCGGCACCAGAGAAGCCTTCGGCTGAACCAAGCCCTCGGTCACACAAAGCCTTCGGCTACACAGGGGGTCCTTGGTCATATGGAGCCCTCGGCTACACAAGGAGCCTCCGGTCAAACACGCTCAATCATCGAAGATTCCTTTTGGAGACAGCCAACCACCGCATTTAATGCCACGTCACATCCGCCAACCGCATTCAATGCGGTGAACGTACCACTGCCGGTGCCAACCGGCCGATGTGACCCCTCGGCCGTTGGATTACTGACACGTGTACTCTCATCGCATTTATTGCTGCTATAAATAGCAGCCCATTTCTCCTTGTAAAACGATCCACATCCCAACTCCACATCTCGAGTTCATTTAATAAATCGACTCTCTCTCCTCCTATTTGCTCTGACTTCTCTCTATTTATTCACGCAATAACCCCTCGGATAGGATACCCCCCGGGTAGACTATCCATCATTTGGTGCTTTCATTGAGAGGTCAGAACAATCAAGTAAGAAACCCTCCCCCTCTACCAAACTCAAAACACCTACCAAAAATGGGAAGAACAACCCGCGCCCAATCCAAAACCCTTGAGGAGAACCACGTAGCCCCCGGCGAAACTAACGGGGCTGAGGCCTCCAACAGGCTCTTAGTACCCGAGGGTGGAATCATCCTCGAGTTAGAGCAGGCTACTGCTGACCTCCGTCAGCAGCTACAGAAGAGTGCCCCTGATGCCCGCATTGGCCTTGATAATCGAAGGAGGGATCGGAGTGAGAACCAAGTTCCCCCTCCGGCCTCGGCCATCGATCTTTAGGCTGCCTTTGCGGCCTTCGTTCAAAACATGGCTCTCAATTCCGGAGCCCTCGCCCCTCAGGCACCCCTTCAGCCCTACGCTGGAGGAAACGTTATCCAACTACCACCACTCCCCCCTTTGTTCAACAATCCTCCCCCGGGGATTGGAAACGCCGAGGGGGTCATAGCACAGGATACCGCCTCCCAAGAGGCCCAATCCAGGGACAAGCGCCCCATGATGAAGGAGAAACCCCGGACCTCTGCACTTGAGAGATTAGGGGGAGCTCCCCGGCGCCGAGAGGTCCAAGACCGCCTCGGCAAACAGGAATCCAGCAGGCCTCAAGAGAGTGGGGCTTCCGCTTCGGGAGCCGAGGGCATGCCCCCGCCCCGGAGCAAAGGCAAAGCCCTCCTCCATGCTGATGACGCCAGGCACCAAATCAATCAGGCGCAATCCTTCCGGGCCAACTCCCAAGGGGTTTCCCCGAAGGATCCCAAGGACGAGATTATCGAGGCCCTCCTTCGTCAGCTCGAGGAGAATCGTCAGGCACCCCCGACGGCTTCCACAGTGAGACCGGATCCGGGTTACGCTGACCTCCGGGCACAAGTGGAAGAAATGAAGCGTAAACTGGCCGAAGGCTCCGGTGAGCCCCTCATTCAGCTACGCACTAGGACGCCCTTCACCCCGAGGGTGCTGGCGGCGAAGATCCCCCATAAATACCGGGGGCAACCTATCAAGCCGTATGAGGGGAAGACAGACCCCCAAGAGCACTATAGCCGCTATCAAAATAGCATGATGATGATGGGGGCCTCGGATGAATACTTATGTCGTTGGTTCCTTTCCACCCTGGAGGGACCAGCGTATGAGTGGTTCAACCGGTTGCCCGAAGGCAGCATTGATTCTTGGCAAGAACTTGCCCACCGCTTCCTTACACAATTTGCCGGGAGGCACCGCTCAAAGAAACACTTCTCCCACCTTCTGAACGTCAGACAACAGAAGGAGGAAACCCTTCGGAGTTTCCTGGAGCGCTGGAGGCAAGCCTCCCTCGAGGTCGAGGGCGCCGATGACAGGACACTAATGGCCCTCTTCCACACCGTCCTCCGCAACGGTAACTTCTCTCGGAGCCTTATCACTGATCCCCCCCGCGATTATACAAAAGCCCTTCAGCGGGGGGACCGATACGCCGAAGCAGAAGAGATCGAGAAGGACCGCCGCAACACGGATCCTTCTCAAAAGAATGAAGGCAGGAATCGGCCCGGGGGGCCTCCCCCTCCGGCCAACCGAGAGGCACAGTACAACGATCGCTCCCGAGGTGGCCAAGCCAGACCCGGGGGCGGTTACAAAAACAATCCGAAGGCATGGGCGCAACCC